GTGATTCTGATGGGCTTTCCTTTGTATGTGATTTGTTTCTTTTCTCTAACTGCTTGTAGAACTTTGTTCTTCTGTTGAGTTTTTGGAATCTTAACAATTATATGCCTATATGTAAATTTTTTTTTTTATCAAGACTATTTGGAGCCCTGTATGCCTCACTTATCTGTATGTCAAGTTCTTTCCCCCTGCTTGGGAAGTTTTCTGCCAATACTTCTGTGAACAGTTTTCTTATGTTATCTGCACTCTCGCCTGTTTCTTAGTTGACTCCCATCAGTCTTATGTTATTCATTTTTGCATCATCTAGCAGCTGCTGGATTGACTTCTCATGGTCCCTTACAATTTTGAAGCAATTTTTCCTTTCCTGGTCACTAATTGCAATCTTATCTTCTATATCCGAAATTCTGTCCTCATATTGGCTCATTCTGCTGCATAGACTTTCAATGGAATTTTTAATGCCCTGGAAACCTGTTTGTATCTGTTTTATGGATTCCATTTGTTTCTGTGTTGGGATTCCATCATGTTCCTCAGCTCCTCTTTTTTTATGTGTCCTCTCTAGATTTATTAATCATGTCTTGCACTATGGGCATAATCTCTGCTGTTATCTGAGAAATTATTTCTGATTTCATTTTTCTCAGATCCTCTTTTGTTGCCAGTTCAGGGAGTACAGGTGGTTGAGTATCAGTGCTCCATCTCATTTCCCTTTGGGGTTGCTGTAGGTGATCTGGAAGTCTGGTTTTGAGACTTGTTTACGTGTCTTCTCATTTCAACAGGGGGGCAGGTGCTTTTGGCGCCCACGCAGCTCACCTCCTCTGCCCTGGGAGTGGTGGAACAGTGGCCTGGAAGCCCCTTCCTCTGGGCTGGGAGCAGTGCAATGGTGGCCCAGAAGCCCCTTCCTCTGGGCTAGGAGCAGTGGAACGGCAGCCCGGAAGCTCCTTTCTCTGCACTAGAGCAGTGGAACCTTGCCTTGATTTTAAAAAAGGCTTTCCTACCCAAAATTACAAGCATACTGTCCTCTGATATTTTGAGGTTTACTTGTTATATTTAACCTATATGGGGATTATTTTCATATATGGTATGAGGTAGAATTGTCTCTATTTTGCTCAAAGGATAGCCAACTATCCCAATACTACATATTGAATAATCATATTTCATTCCCCTACTTTGAAATGTTATCTTTATCATATTAAATTAACACTGAATTACAAGCTGTTCCTGGAGTCCCTTTTTTTTTTTAATTGGTACCCAGGACTTTGCATTTGCCAGGCAGGCACAGGGCCTCTCAGCTACATCCCTGGCACCATGTTTCTTTTCTACAGATCTATTTGTCCATTTCTACACAATATTACAAAGTTTTAATGCCCAAAACTACATAGTATATAGTAGGCAAAAGTTTTCCTATTTTGTTTTTTAAAAACAAAGTTAACTATTCTCATAAATTTTCTTTTCCAGATAAATTTTTAAATCAACTTACTACATTTCCTTTAAAAATCCGGGTGGGGGGAGAGGTTGGAATTGCCTCAAATTTTAAAGATTAGAGACTCCTTTTTCAAAACCATTTGCACATTTATTAGAATGTACAGTATTCATCAAAGGCTATGCAGTAAGTTCTGTGGGAATTTAAAGGATTTTAGTAGGTGGAAGGCAGCTAGGATTTGAAACCAGATTTCCCATCTTCAGCCACCAGTAACCCCTCTTCTTCCTTCCCCCTTTTACTGCTACTTTGTCAAATACAAAGCTCATCTCTGAAATAAGTATATGGTATGAATAAATGTGTAACATTCAGCTTCGTTTTCTGTTTTATCCTCTACAGACAGATGTCAAAGAATAAAAGCACATGTGAGGAACACGGGGAATGTTCCTCTCCACTGTCTGGGTTGGACCTGTCCCTTTCTTTCCCTTAACCAAAGATCAGAACCTAGTACATAATTTGTGGGGACTTTTTCTATATTATTAAGAGTTTCAAGAAGTGACAAGAGAATTTGAAGCGGGACCCTACTCACGGGAGGCAGGCGCTAGCTGAGAGTGTCTTTTTCTAAAATCTGTCTCTGGCTTTGTAGAGTCGCAACCCTGCTCGGATGAAGAAGCCTGCTCGGAAGTCTTCCTCCCCACGGACAGCGACTATGACTCCAGTGATGCCTTGAGCCCCCGGGACTTGGACCTGGTCTACCTGTCTTCGCATGACATCGCCCAACAGGCCCTCAGCGGCCTCAGCGGCAGCGCCCCCGACGTCCTTCAAGTGCACGACATGAAGAGCCCGCCGGGGACAGGCCAAGACCCCTTGGTCCAAGCTCAAGCCCCAGACCCGGACCACTCGTGTGCAGAGCTCCTCCACAGCCTAACACTTACAGGGTTCACACCTAAGAACTACGCCAAGATGGCGCCGGGTGCACGGCCGCCCCTGGGCTTCCTGGGAAAGCGGAAGCCGGGCAAGCACCAGCACTACGGCGGCTTCAGCCGCCACCACCGCTGGCTGCGCATGCACAGTGAGACGCAGTCGCTGTCGCTTTCTGAGGGTGTGTACACCCCACACCTGTCCCGGGCCTGCGGCCTGGACCGGGACCTCGGGGAAGCCGAGCGGCAGAATCCCGCCCTCGATGGGCCCCGGGGCCTGCCACTGGCTCATGCCACCAGCCTCCCAGAGGAGCGGAAGGGCTGCCTTCAGGACCTGAGGCCTTCTGTCCGCCGCATCTACGTGGAGCCCTATGCCGGGGCCCTTGTGGCCCAGGACAGGAAGCCATGGGCTGGCTTGAGCCCGACGCCTGGAGGCCGCACCCGCCTGCCTGGCCCCTCGGTCCCTGACATGAACCCGGAGGGTCCCACCTCACCGGTGTCTGAAATACTCAGCAGCATGCTTTAGGGAGACACATGCGGGCCGTGCACTGTGCCACTCCCATCCTTGCATTTCCCGTCACCCTAACCCAGCCTGCCTCACTGCCTCCCCAACCCATTTTCAAATGTTTTGAATATTACAAATCCAAAGGTTACAAGTTCAAGGCCCTCTTTTTGGAAAGTAGAGGGGAGATGGAGGCCAGAGTGCCATTCCCATTTCAGCCTAGAAGAGGCATGGAGGAGTTTTTGTGTCACACGAAGTCTGAGACAGTGATTCAACACCCTGTTCGTGGCATTTGTTACTGTGGTAGAACAGGCCAGAGAGACACCCTCACCTTTGCAGCTGGCTGTATAATCTGACCCCTGGGCTTAGGGCTCTTTCATGAATTAGGATTGATTAAGAGAAGTTCTATAGATGGAAATAAGATTGGCATTGGTTTTCCTTCCAATCCAAACCTTAAGAAGAGTTTGGGGAAAAGAGACCCGGGTTCTGTCTTCAGGCCATGGGATCAAGAAGGCTTGGTTTAGGTTCCCTGTCAGCTAAACCAGAAATGGTTTAGGTCATGCCAAAGTGGCTCAGAATTCACCAAATCCAATTTATCATCAGCACTCAACTGATTAAGTAGGCCTTGTGCGTAGGCCCTTAGTGCTGTGTAGAGATCACCAGAAACAAAAGTGGAACACACTTCTAGCTCTGTCTTGCAAAAGTAGAATAGGGCAAGAAGAAACCCTTCCAGCACACTCAGCTCCTATTTAAACGTGACAGCCGGCAGCAAATTGTTCCAGGGTGCAAGAAAATGGATGAATTAAGTGAAAGCCTAATTTGTAGATGAGAGGAGGGAGAGAAACATGAACAAAAGTATATTTCCTTTACAATTCTGAAACAAACTAAGCAAACTAAGTCCATAAATCTGTCAGTGAAAATCACACTGGATCTTCTCCAGATTCTGAAGTGATGAAATAGTCGTGCAACAAGAAAATGCCCTGCACATGTGCCCAGGCAGTGGTGGAAGTCTCCCAGCCCGGCAAGCACATGGATAGCTCCTTGTCACAGGTGAAGGAACAAATTGCCCAGGGCTACAGTGGCTCCACCTTCCTCTTTCAGCCACTGCTCTAAACATCAGTTTTGCCCCCAAGATCATCTGGCCAGGTGGCTACAAGGAAAATCTTTCCTTCAAAGCCCTCACCAGAGGTTCATTCCAAAAATGTGCTCAAAACACCCGGAAATCCTGCTTTGATCACATTGCCTCCTACCTGAATTTCTCACTAATGAGAAAGCCAAATCAAAGAGAAATCACACTGCATATTCAGGAAAGGCATGAACCTTCTCAACTCGGGGAGCCAAGACCATTCAGTTCACTGACACTCTAAATGGCCCTTTTCTGCTTCACAGGCATTTCAGTTAAATATTGCTCTTTACGACCCTATCTTTGTCCTCATGGTCCTACCATTTCTCCTCATGGGAATTCATACAAAGTCCCCTGTTCATGATGTTATTCTGATCCTTTCCATTTTTGAAACATTTCATTTAAACATAAATAATTACCCTGCTGGAAAGGTGCAGATTTGGCCCATGGCCTATGGTCCTTAGAAAACTAAAGCCCAGAGCTCAGTCTTGATTTTTTTAAAGAGATTTTATACTCAGTGAACCTCCCAAAGAATCTTGATCAGAATCACCACAGCTTGTTTTTCATGCCTGGGAGGATTTTAAAATAGTTTTCTTCTGTCTGAGGGAATTCTATGCATATGGAAGGAGTGAAGGTTATATCTAGAAGGGATCATAAAATTTCTCTTAAATCCTTTGCAAGTAGGGCAGGTGAGGCTCAGAGAGATTAAGTGACTTGCTCAAGGTCACAGCTTGTTTAGTCTCAGAGTTAGGACCGGAAAAACCCCCAACCACTCCCTTTGTAGCAGGCTGTCCCATTGGGAATTGGTACACACCTAGTCAAGGCTTGTCTACAGGCAATTTACTCTTCATCAAAACTACCTACTTCTTATTCCAAATTCAAGTCCTTTGCTCACCCTTTACCGGAAATATTTCCAATATCACAGAGCTCCCTGTTGCTAGGGAATACAAATGTCAGGTAATGGACATCTAAGATCTAAGCTAAGTTTGCTAATTAAAAAGCTAATTTGAGAGAAATTTCAGATATTAGTTAATAACATAAATTAGTTATCTTGTTTAATAATAGAGTTATCTGCACTCAGCTTCCACTTATTTCTAACTAGAAGACAGTCTGTATAAATTGAATGAGTTTGAGAGACGAGATGATGGGACTGTCAAGAGCTAACAAGCCAAGCAAGACTCTGGTCCTGGTGGTTCCGCTGACTCAGGAAACAGTCTGTGAGTGGGAATTAGATGGGAGGTGTTCAATAAGCAGCTAAGGCAGAGACTTCCCACCCTTCCGATGCCTAGTTTGGTCAGTAAGCTCTGGCTTTATGGACCCAAACTGCATTAATTTTTAATTTATTTTTATTTTCCATGAGAAAAAGAGGCATGCTCATGAAATGAATAATGCACAGTAGATTTCAATCAGCATACTTAATCCATTTTTCTAGCAAGTATGTTTTTCTAGCAAGAGTCCCATAAGGACATGTTATATCCTCAATAATTAGCTATTTATTCAGGTAGAATCACCCTGCAACTCTACAACATTTGTGGGCCCAGTCTAAATTAATACAGTCTTGTGACCCCCCCAAAAAAAGTTTTTTATTCATTCACATAAAAAGATGATAGACTTCACAAGGACTAGGGATTTTTGTTTGCATTACTTTATTGATTTTTCTCTGCTTTACTTTGGATACAATGGATTTCCTCTTTTATTCTGAAACCCAATCTGAGAAGCTCTGGAGGAGATTTTCCTGACCCAGGTCTTCTTTTCTGATGTTTTTCTAATAGACTTTCACCTGCATTACCCAGCTCTCATCCCTTGTGGAAATCCTTAAAGATCATTGACTGAGACTCTCTCAGATCTATGCCTATTCTAAGTGCCACAGAGAACCAAAGAATCAAGTTTGAAACACATTCCTGGGCCACAGGAAGCTCACAATTCTGATCTAAGAATGTAGCCATACACTGACCATTGTCACTGATGTCTTAGAAGAGACAGGAGCCTGTCACCTCAGCCACAAAGAGACAGCTCGTGTTTGGCTAGACTTTTCTCTTTTTTTGGTACTGGGGATCGAACTCAGGACCTTGCGCTTTCGAGGCAGGCAATGGCACCACTGAGCTAAATCCCTGGCCCCAGACTTCTTTGATAGCGCTCCTGCTGTCCATTCATGAAAGATCCCAGCCCAGAAAATATAACTTGGGGATGTAAACCACTGACAAGGCTTTCACATCCTCTTAATTGGAGAAGGCAGCTGGGGGAAAGTAATTAAAAACATTCACTCTAGGGTTTGATATTTTGAGAAGTGGGCACTTAACGATGAGATCCATTCCATTTTAAAAACATTCACTAATGCTCAAAGCAATAATTCCATTGGAGAAAATGGTTCCATTTGGTTTGAAAATTGAAGCCACTTCGTAATAATATTCTGCCAGTCCGCTTTCCTGAAGGATCCCAAAGCACTTTATGAAAAGCAATGACTGAAGCCTTGTTGTACTCCCCTAAAGAAACCTTGTCTGGGAGCCACCTGGCAAACACCTACCCCATCCTTGCCAGGAGATCATGCCAGACAAGTGGAAAAGAGGACTGGCTTCTCATTCATTGTTATCTTGCCACACACACATGTGCCCTGCTGAGGGTTGAGCTCTTCCCTGGAAGATAACTCTCTTAGACAAGGAGGCCTACCAGAAAAGCCCAACTCCGTGGCCTTCTCTTGTTCTTCACAATGCACCCGAGAGGTATTCACTTTCTCTTGGAGAACTATCGACTCAAACTGTCTAGGGTCTGTGGTGCATTTTAGTTCCCGAGTTATGTTACCAGCATACAGAATTCACTGGCTTCTGAAAATGTATACATATTAGGAAAAAGATGCCAGTAGCCTGCAGCTTCTCCACTTTATAGGTAGCAGAGCTACAGCAGAGAGTACACATCTCTGTATACTTGTTTATTAAACTGTAACATACAAATTAGAGAGGGTAGTTATAGATTAGCCAGAGAATATGTGAATTCAGTGTTACATTGTCATTTTATAAAGTCTAAATATTTTTCCAGATGATTCAGTGAAGCAAATCTGCAATTTTTTTAACGTCATTATCTTTCAAGAAAAAAATTTAAGGAACTATTTGGAAAGCAATGGTATCTCTACACGGGTAGTAGGGTGAACAAGGAAAAAATTTGTTTCTTTGCTGGTCACTTCTCATAAGATGTTCAAACACATGGCTTATGACTGTTAAGCTAAACTTCAATGCAGCCTTACAAACAACAAGGGTAGTGTATTTGAAAATATGTTGTACAGCTTGGAAACTTATTCTAAGATCTTAATTCAGAGTTTTTCTGAGGTGTTGAACTTTGCCATTAGCAAAAAGTATTTTTAGAAAAAAATCCATTGACTGTTTATGAAGCACTGATTTTACCATACTTCAGGTCTCTGGTTTTTCCACTGCATCTGCACACAGTAGTTATATCTGTTTTTCAATTATTTCTTCTATTTTCATTAATAATAAATTTTAAATAGTTATTCAAAAGGACAGTTGGTTTTGTTTAACAATGGGTAAATGGACTGTGTAGATATTCTATTTTGATAAAGAAAGTAGGTTTGTTGTTGTTACTGTTTTCTTACATCTTAAGGTCCTTCCCTTCCAAATACACACATTTTTAATTTCAACAAAAGCCAGTATATATTTAACTTAGTGGCAAATGTTATGAAGTTATTACTTAATGCTGCTTGCTTCTCTTCTTTCAGTCCATTACATGAAAGTCTGAGTATATTTTCACAGTAACCACCATCCAATAACTGATTTACAGAAGCCAAGTCTGGCAAATTATAAGTCAGTCTGAGTTTCTGTGTTGCCTCTTGCCTTGTGACAGACCAGATGATTGGAGATATCTCATGTATGTCATCACAAGCATCAGTTTGGTGTTTGTAATAGAAAAAGAATGTGTGTGTGTGTGTGTGTGTGTGTGTGTGTTGTGAGAGAGATGTTTCATAGGAAAAGTAATTTAAGTGACATTCTATTAGGCAATGTTTAATTGCTTCCTGACTAATGTGTACATAGTAATCTGGCTGATTATTGGTTGTTATTTGTTCAGAATTTATTGTATCTTGTTGCTATGTATGCAACTGAGTGTATGTTAAAGTTTAGACTTCGGTACATTATCTGCACAATTTTCTGTGCTTTACACCTCTGTAAATATACAGATGAATCATGTATGGTATGTTCAAGCTGACCTCCAATCTTGAAATAATATTTTGTAGTATACATATTTGGAAACTATTTGAACATTTTAAATGGATATTGTAAATGACCAGTACCTTCAGTCTAAAACAGCATGGGTTACATGCATGCCTCTTTAGCCTGTCAATTTAGAAGAGGAGGTCAGGGGTTAACAAGAATTAAAATAATTTTCTAATGACAAGTATTTTTTATAATTTCCAACCTGCCTAACTGAATTTCCCAGAAAAATTGTCAACAGAAGAAATCTTAAGTATCAGAGAGAATGACTTTGTTTATAAGCATTAAATATAATTTGTATTCTACCCAAAATTGTTGAAATCTAGGACAAGGGTGAAGAAGTCAAAAATATTTTTGATTCTTCATAAGATTTTTTGTTGTTTAAAGAAGTTTGTGAGCCTTTTGTCTGCAGTGTGGAGAAATGTCAGTTAAATAATAAACTTTGTTTTTAGTGTGGAGAAATATCAATTAAACAATAAACTAACAGAATTCTCAGTATTTGGCTTACTTAGTGCTTTTTCCATGTCTCAATGAAGACAAAAATTGTTTAATCTGAGCTTTTAAAACCTTCTCACTAAAACCTTGGAAGAATCATTGTTTAGGGCACTGTTTTGACAATT